TTTCGGGAAGTGGCTGGAGCAGGCGGAGGCTGGGGGCTCCCCGACGCTGACTCAGACCCAGTGTCTGGCGCCCGGCCTGATCCTGCATGGGGACGTGCCGGGTTCCCCATGGGGGTGGCAGCCTCCAGACCGTGGCTTAGCCGAAGGGTCCCCAGCACCCAGGGGGTCTGCGGAGCTGCTGGCTGGGGTGGCCCCGTGGCCAGCTAGGGCGGCAGGGCAGCAGCATCTGCCCAGGGCAGCGCTGGCATCTGGCGGGAAATCTGTGCGTGTGTGTCATCTGCATGGCATTTGCACGTCACGCAGAGCCCCCCCAGTTCCATCACATCCATGACCCTGGGACATCGCTGCACGCACGCATGTCCCACGTCCCCTGGGCTCGACCTCTCAGTTAAATATGACCCAGGCAGGGTGAGGGTGTGGGCTGGGGAAACTGAGGCATGGCATGTCCCCACAGCAGGGGGGGGATTCACCACCAGCACCATGGGGACAGAGACACAGCTCCCTGTCCCCAGGGCAACAATGTCATTTGCTCAAAGCATTTCTGGGTGCCCTGAGGCCCTGGTGATGGACATTACACGGGGTAGGGGGGGGGATGGCAGTCTGGGGATTGGGGCCACCCCTTGTCCCCAGTTGGGACCAGAGATGTCCCCAAGGAACCCGCCTGCCTGCTAAGCTGAAGTTTTAATCAGGGAGATGGAAACTGCAAATTAATTTGGATTAAATGGGGGGGATTTAGGAGGCAGCTTCGGTGGCACCTGTTGGGAGACAGAGGGGAGATGGGGAGGGGACAGGGACACAGGCCCCGTTTCACAGTCCCGCAGGGCCATATCGTGTGTGCCAGCCCTGGCAGTGGGGGACGTGGTGGGAAGCATTTTGGGAGGGGTCCCTGCCTGGCCGGGAGCCTGTCTATCCCCACTCAGGGAGGTGGGGACATCCCGGGGTGGCCCCCTGGCAGCCTGGTCCAGCTCTGACCCCCATGCTTGGGGCTGTGTGTCCCCCCCAGTGCTGCTTGTGGCTGGGGGGGGAAAGC